TGTCACATATAAGGTAAAGGCCGAGTGGTCGGGTACTACACAATCTGAGATTTCTATGTCTGGTGAAACTGGGAACTGGATCATTGAATTAATATTTGATGCTAAAGTTATCATTAATGTAAGTTTAAACTAATTGAAATCAACTTAGCTAATTACTTGTTATTTGTACATTAAGAGCACATATGGTGGTGAAGTCAAAACCTCCAGTCCCGATGAGCTCACATTCACATTAGGTGGCGATCCCCTAAAAGCTGGTGAAAATCATACCATTCAATATCAGGCACATTTTGACCATAATGCCGGAGCTAACCTTATTAGGTATTACTGAATATATAAATTCATTAAAAAATTATTTTTTAATATTTACTTGATTTTAATTTAGCGCAAAATTTAACGACAAACCCATAGATATCGGTAATAAAACTGAAGTAAAAATATAACCAAAGAATTAATATTATTTTTATGACAATGTTTAGGACCGGTAGCCACTGTATGGCCCATAACCGTATCGCCTGTCGGCCCAAAAGGCAACTACAACTACGGGGCTGTCATTCACGCCTCCCTACTCTTCTATGAGGCCCAGAGGTCCGGCAAATTACCCGCAGATAAGAGGGTTCACTGGAGGGGCGACTCTATGCTGGACGACGGGAAGGACGTGGGAAAGGATCTGACGGGCGGTTACTTCGATGGTATGACTTCTCACTGGAGTTATGAAAAAAAGTTTATATTAATTATGACGCGAATCAATAGCCGGAGATCTGGTGAAGTTTGGTTTCCCGATGGCCTTCACAATGACTGTCCTTTCGTGGAGTCTCGTCGACTACGAGGACGCCTACAAAAAGGCCGGGGAGTTGGAGAATGTGCGCAATGCTATCAAATGGGGGACAGACTACTTCCTGAAAGTACTGAAAATAGTTATAATTATAAGAATTTATCACAAATTTATTGTTTAATTAAATGCTATTCAGTGCCACACAAGCGATACTGAATTCTACGGACAGGTAGGCAATGGTAATGAGGACCACGCCGTGTGGGGTCGACCTGAGGACTGGCCTAAAACTAAGAAAGTTAGACCAGCATATAAAGTGACCTCGGCACACGGAGGTAAACCCTATTAATGATTTAATTTAAATTATTATAGTTTTAATGCTAATTAACAGGCAGTGAATTGACTGGTGAGACATCGGCAGCCCTGACCGCCGCTTCCCTGGCCTTCGCGAAGTCTGATCCGACATATTCAGCGACACTCCTAACTCACGCCAAGTCTTTGTACGCATTTGCCGACAAATACCGGGCTAACTATACCATAGAAATACCGGACGTCAAGAGTTTCTACAACAGTATCTCAGGCTATGGCGATGAGTTGGCCTGGGCGGCCACGTGGCTGCTCAGGGCTACCAATGATAGCCATTATAAGGCCGAAGTGGACAAACACTTCAAAGAGTTTACCAAACAGTTGGACCACTCGGGCGGCTTCGGGTGGGACGATAAATCGGCCGGTGCTCACGTGCTATTGGCTCAGATAGTGGGCGACAAGAAGTACAAGGATTATGTTCAGGGATATTGCGATTGGGCAGTGAATCAAGCGCCTAAAACACCCAAAGGTAACCGCAAACACACATTGAAAATATATTTTCATTATAAATGAATATTGTTAACCATAAGGATTGGCATTTATGGGGGAATGGGGTTCACTCAGGAGTATATCAAATGTTGTTTTTATTTGCCTTCAGGTAGGCGTTCAGTAAATTAATATTATTTTTATTGTTATCAAGGTTTCAAAATAATGGCTAAATTATTATTTATTTTCTACAAAAGGCGGCAAAACTTGGTATCAATGAGAAGGTGTACCAAAAGTTTGGTGAAACTCAAATCGGATACATATTAGGCGATACGGGCAGGAGTTTTGTGGTGGGCGTAGGGGTCGACCCACCCTCACACCCCCATCACAGGCCGTCGTATGTATAGCTTAGTATTTGTATAAATAATTATTTCTTATACATAATAACATATTTTCAGGTCGTGTCCCAACCCGCCGGTGGTTTGCGACAGCTATGCGTTTAATAATCCCGGCCCTAACCCGCATACCCTTACCGGCGCACTGGTAGGTGGTCCCGATGTGAAAGACGGGTACAATGATACCCGGGATGATTACGTGCACAATGAGGTGGCCTGTGATTATAACGCCGGCTTTCAGGCATCTCTGGTAGCGCTCCTACACCTCAAATCCAATGAATAGGCATTTTCTAACGATTTCTCAAAGAGTATTACTTTTTAAAATACATGCACAATGAGGTGGCCTGTGATTATAACGCCGGCTTTCAAGCATCTCTGGTAGCGCTCCTACACCTCAAGTCCAATGAATAGGCATTTCCTAAAGATATCTCAAAGAGTATTACTTTTTTAAATACAATTTGTTGTGAATTATGTAATTTGTGGACTATTTTTATTATAATAAATTTCATTTAATTTTAACTAACTAGCTAATTCTATTAATTATAATTAATTGCATTTAAATTGTTAAATAGCTTTTAGGATATCTACATGATTAGAAAATAAATAAGTTGACCAGGGTTATAATAAAAATAGGACATTTATTGAACGTAGCATAAAAGGTCATGTTGGTATGTCAAATACTGGCGCACATCCCTTTCCTCATTCATATCAATGGTTTTCTAAGCCTATGAACTGATTGTACTGTTCATATTGAAAGTATACAGAATATTCTAAAAGAATATTACCGTATAATGTTAATATTAGCATAATTACCACAGAATATTAGCAAGGCTAGCGGTCGAGTTACTAGTATTAGCGAGTAATTCAGTGATATGTGAAATAGATTTCTCTTTTTAGTTTTATATCAGTGAGTTTAACGTTAATACCCCGGGCAATCTTAAATGGTTTTGATAATTTACTTAATCATTGCAAGTTCTCATGATATACTCCGGGGTTATTATAGATACCATCAACTCATTGACACCGTTTTTAAGTAGTGAAAAAAATTTCGCTGTAATTACTATGTCTTTGTAGATGAGAATAACAGCTTTAATAACTAAGTGGACAGACATATAAAGGAAAGGGCTATACATTGAACTGTTAACACCGGTAAATGTGTCCAATTATCGACAGTATTTAGTAATAGTTTTACTTAATGCCAAACACTTAATGCTTTTCACACAATTCTTTGAAATGTTGTTCTAGCTCATTCACTAACTCTGAACTAGATTAAAATTTTGAAAACTAATTAAGATGACTAAACATCCACATTTAAAATTAATATGGATTGAAGTGTTACTTGCAAATTATTGTTAAAATACATTAAATGATTTACGTACTGTCCATGATAAATCATTTTGTTCAATCCTTGAAATGTTTATACTGTGTAAAATAATTAATAATTTTATGGGTTTTTAATAAATGTGCATTGTATAAACCAATTTAATGTTTTGTATTTTGTATTTTGTATTTAGTGTTTAGTATTTAGTATTTAGTATTTATTTTGTATTTAGTTTAATTTAATTTTAAGTTATACAAATTATTTTATTTCTAAATATTTTTATCACAAATAGTTAAGATTGCTATTGTATAAAATATAATAATAATAATGTTTAAAAACTGAAAACAAACTAGATACTTGTTCACCAATTATTACATAAAAAATTAATATACAATTAATTAAATATAAATAAACATGTATTTATACACACATTAAATCACGATGGCCTAAGTAAAAATCAAACATGTTTTATAATCAATAGTAATTTATTAATATTGAATAAATAAACAAATTACAGTATTAGCACTATAAACGCATTCATAGTATAATACTTATAATTTTTAATAATTTAAATAATTAAAGATTTATGAAACAAAAAATCCTATTTTTATTACAAGTTTATTTAATTAAAAATATTACAGTAATTCATAATACTTATCAGCCTAATACTTGGTTTATAGTGGGCCAGGTAGTTTTCGGAGCGACATTCAATGTAGGTCTCCTATTGGCACCCAAAGTAGTTGTCTCATTAATGCATTTTCCAAAGTTAGCTTGGTCAAAGTTGCGACACTTGAGACCATTACAGCAATTAGTACGGACCACATCACCGCATATGCTATTTTCAGTGCCGCATTGCCCCAGGGGTCCCATTGTCATACAGAATCCCAGGGTATTCCTGGCATTCACTCCAATAGCGTTCGTAATACACGTTAATCCCTGTCCCGTACAGCATTCAAAACCGATATAACCGCCACATATCTGCCTTTCCCCTGAGCATTGTTGTAGTTGAATGGGTAGGACTGGTGTAGTCACTGTTGTGTCTGGTGTGTCTTGTCCAGCAACTAATTATTTGTATATAAATTAACAAGCTAATAGTTATTTTTAATTAATAGATTATACAATTTTTTATACCGAGTAATCCCATTATTAGTAAAATTAAAAACTCAATAAATTTGGACATTTTTATTTTTTAAATGACTTTGTAAAGTATGCCGTACTAATTTAACTGCTACTGTGCTACTATTGTATTTTATTTATAATTATTATTTTCATTAAATAGCAGATATATAGTGTGCACCTGACATATTTTAAAATAAATTACTTTTGTAATATGTGCCATAGTTTTTGCAATAAATTATTTATATAATTCATGTGATTTTTAGGGATTTCAGAATTTTAAGTTAAATAATAATATATTATATTGATCAAACTTACAAGTTAGAAAATATCATGTAACATACTAAAATTGAAAATCATCATTAATTATGTTTTGAATTACTATTATTTCATAATATTACATTGAATTGTAAAAATTTTCCAAACACTTGTACCTATCAAATATAATTAATAAAATATTATATCAAAATATCTTTTCTATTAATTATTTTAGCTTTTTAAGTATTACACTTTTAAATGTACAGTAATGCTCGATAATTACACTATTATACAAATAGATAACTTATGCATTTCTATACTGGCTAATACTTTGGTATTTTACTTAAACCAGATAACATTATTTTCATAATCACTTTCTATATTTATTATATTATTTATTCAACATATAATGTAATCACAAACTCTTAGCTGTAATCATGAGTTGACTAAAGTGTGTGGTTATCACTAAAATGTATGAATCAGTGGCACATAAACAACACAATCAAAACATAATAGTGAAATCATTTTTAACACCACAAAACTGCAATATAATAATTATTATTTAGTATAAAAACATTTAATTTTATAACATAAATATAAAAATGGACAGTCAAAACCACCTGGACACTATTGATACGAGTATGGATATTAAAGAGGTTCATTCAATGTATGTAGAAATTATAAATTAATATTGTATAAATTAGATACTTAAATCTACATTACTAATTACTCTACAAAATCTATTTATGGACAGTTGGCTTAAAAACCAGTTTAGATCCGCAGATAACGACATTAACCACAAACTGAGCAGGGATGAAATAATGTGTGTATTGAATCACATGAATCTATCAATAACTGAGAAGCAAGCAATGACCCTGTTTGATGTGAGTTTACTATTTATATAAGTTATATTTAATTAAATAGCCGGTAATATACAATGATTTCAACAATTCATGGACAGGCGGCTCATAATAGGAAGCATCAAATGAATTTAAAAGGCATGGGTGCCGGTGATGTCCACTTGGATGCCTGTTGTCTCGATGAGGAGGCTTTCCTCGACTTTTATGAATTACTTTATAAAAGGCCAGAATTGGATCAACTCTTTCGAAAGTGGGTTATTATTGGTTAAATTGATTTAATTATTAATTAACTTGCTAATTTTACGTAACCTGAGAGTTGTTTATTAATTAATATAGAAACTCAGTCAACGGTACCGATGTTATGGGTCCTCAAGAGTTGCAAAAGTTTTTGGTCACAAACCAAAAGGTATTTAAATTTACTATTTTTACTTATAAACTATAAGTATGTTAGTTATAATTAATAACAATTTTTGTATCATTTAGATGACCAAAATTAGTTTAGATGATTGTAAGGCATATATACAGCGATTTGAACCTCAAGACACACTGTACCCTGGATTTATGTCCATTAAAGGTATTTTTATTATATAATTATGCTGTTGAACTACTATGCGATTTTTAATTAATAATTATTTTGATTTATTTATAGGTTTTTACAATTTATTCCGATCACAAGAATTTGATATATTTAACAAAACTCATAATACTGTCTGTGAGGACATGTCTCACCCCTTATCGGAATATTATATCTCCTCATCTCATAATACGTATAAATATTGCAATTAATATCTCATTCAATTAATTAACTTTTATGAAATCAACTAGTTATCTATTGGGAGGTCAATTAGCCGGCACAAGTAGTGTAGAGGGCTATCGGTTGGCACTGCTCAGTGGGTGTCGTTGTGTGGAACTGGATGTCTGCGATGGTAGAGATGGTGAGCCTATTGTTACCCATCTCTACACACTGACCACTAAAATACCGTTACTCGACGTATTGGTCACTATAAGGGAATATGCGTTCAAAACGAGNACACTGACCACTAAAATACCGTTACTCGACGTATTGGTCACTATAAGGGAATATGCGTTCAAAACGAGTAAATACCCGCTTATACTATCACTGGAAAACAATTGCTCCGTTGATCAACAAATAAAAACGGCCATGCTTATCAGGGATGTTTTGAAAGGTATTTATAATACACCTTTAATAGATGTAGAAATTTATTATATTTAATTATGTAAATTATAAAGATTAAAATTTATTGTAATATTAACAAAATTTCTAGATTTAACCAAATGTAATTAATAATTCACAATAGATTCATAATAATCAAATTATTATATTATTTAATTTAACAGACTATCTATATGTGGACCCGGTAGACACCAGTAGTGGCATACTGGGGCTCAATAAAAAACATTTGCCATCTCCCGAGGCATTAGAGTACAAAATCCTATTAAAAGGCAAAAAATTGATAAAATGTGACACAAAAGAGATGTCGCGATCGGATTCACTGAACAATTGGGTCGCGAGTGATACGGAATCGGATGACTCGGATGGGGAACTGGAGGTTGTGCTCAGCGAAACTGAGACTAAAAGCATCGAGTATTTAGACAAACCCGAGCCCATACAGATCCCGGACTGCGATAACATGCAAAATATGGGCGCATGTATGAGCGTAAGCAAGGACAAATTAACAGTAAGTGGTTTAATGTCGTGAATGTTTTACATACAATAATTAAGTATTTATTTTTCTTATAATAGTATGAATTGGCGAAACAGTTGTCAGATTTGGTGACATATTGTGTGACAAAAAGGTTTCAATCATTTGACGACTGTTTGAATGAGAAAACATGTAATTTTTAATAAGTTATAATTGTGATTCAATTACCCTGATTATAATTTTATGATAAAATTAGGGAAATATAACGAAATGATTTCACTAAAGGCGACAAAATCATTAAACTTGATTAAAAGCGATGCTAACAAATACGCCAAGTTCACTAAAACTCATCTAGTTCGTGTGTACCCACGAGGTAGGAAAGTGCTGTCTGGTAATTACGATCCCATTCCCCACTGGAATACCGGCGCACAGTTAGTGGCCCTCAACTACCAGACCTACGATACGCCTATGATTTTCAACAAAGCCTTGTTTGCGTTGAACGGCAAATGTGGTTATGTATTGAAACCCAAGTATTTGCGGAAAGGCATGCTATACGGCATGAGTGACATGAAACCTAAACAGGTTAAAATGACAATCATTAGTGGACAGCATATTCCCAAACCGGGCAATACATTTGAGGGCAAAGTCATCGACCCATATGTTAAGCTCAGAGTATACGGCCATTCGGCCGATTGGTACGAGTTTACGTCAAATGTGGTTAAGAGTAATGGTATGACTTATGGCATGAAAATGAATAAAACATAAAATTGAACTTAAATTCAAAATTATTTGACAGGTTTTAACCCAATTTGGGAGCAAACGTGTGAATTCACTGTAAGGATGCCGGAGTTGGCCATTATTTACATTGCGGTTAAGGATCACTTGACTATTGGCAAAAATGTGCTACTTGGCAGGTATGCCGTACCATTCAGGGCCATTATGCCAGGTATTCATTATTAATACATGCATTTAATAATTTATGTAAACTTCTAATTTAAAACTTTTCATTTAAGGCTACCGTACCATACGGTTGATGGACAGTGAGAGTCGCATAATAGGTGTGTCCACTCTATTGGTGTACATATCGTTCACAGATTGTGCTGACTTTTGGTCGCCGACAGAGAAATGATTAATTTAATTTAATTTAGAAATTATTTGTTTATTATTTTGTATATTATATGATTAATAAATAATTTATAATGTAGTAAAATTGAATGGTTAATTTAAACATTGATAAAAATGCATAATTTGAAGTACATTTAAAAATATTATTATTATTATTAACTTTTTAAATAATACAACGCAAAGTACAGTGTATTACAATCATCCCATTGAATATTATCCTTGAAAAGTGCTAAAGTAGTCTAAATATTTACTATTCTTTAAATATTTACTACAACTCAATATATCGCCCAAAATTTTGGGAGTTTTCCCGAACGGGACTATCAATGAATACATTAATGTATATAAAGTTAACACAAATTGTTGATAAAAATCCTAAAAGTATTTTGATTTTCAATTCAGTGCCGCTATTTCGACGGAAAGGATGACTTGAATCCCGAAGCGGTCGCATTGTTAGCTCAAAAACTGGCAAAATTGCATTCACTAGACCTACCGATCCCTAAAACTAGTAAAGATATGCTACAAATGTTGACCGACTTTTTCGACCCACCACTACAAGAGTCATATCTCGAGGGTTATGTCCACAATCAGATCCAGAATCTACAGACATTTTCGACAGTAAACCTAATCGACGAACTCCAGTGGCTCACGAGGACTGTGCCACAAGTGGACAGTCCTGTCGTCATGTCTCACAACGACCTGAACCGACGAAATATATTAATCAAAACGGAGACAAATAATAACGTATCGGACGTTAAGGACATGTATTTCATAGACTTTGACTTCTCGGGCTACGCCTCCCGGGGCGTAGACCTGGGTAACTATTTCAGTTGTTGGGCTCAGGCAGATATCGTAGGCTTTGACTCCGGGCCCTTTCCCACTGACCACCAAATGTTGGCTTTCATCGACGCCTACATCTCGGAAATGAGTCGACTTTCCGGCGATTCTTATGCTAAACATGCGATCAATTCAAGGGATTCACTCATAAAAGAGTGCAAAATGTATGCATTAATTGCTTTCTATAAAGACGTTTTGTATTGTGTTTGGGAGACTAACCTAAACAAGAGGACAGACCTCATGGTATGAATTAGTTAATTATTATTAATATTTTAATTTGTAATAATAAGCACCAATATTATTTTTATAGATAAAGGCTGAAAAACGACTTCAATGTTATATTGCGCTTAAGAATAGAGTGGTTAAAGAATATTCTTTAGTCATATAAACATTATAGTTATTACAATAGAAATATTATTAATATTTTATAACTTGTTATTTTGATATTTTTGAACTTAGTTTACAATAAACAATAAAGTATAAAATATTTTAATCATAAGAATTTAGTATTATATTACTAGTGCATTAGTGCAATTAAATCAAACATAGCAATTAATGCTTATATTTTTAATGAATACATTAAATGTAATTATTTAATATTTTTTACTAAATTAAATTTAATACTATATTTTTGTAAAAAGTAAAAACCTAAGAATTAAAAACTTAATTTAACCTAAGTTTAGTTACAAAATAGAAATATTAATAATAGTGTGTAACAAAAATAAATACACAAATAAATGACAAATAAATATCATAATCTCGTAGTTATTTATTAAAAAAACAAATCCAAAAATAAAAACCAATGTCCGGACATATTTAGGTATACATATCATATGAATTATATGCTTTAAAATTTCGTTTCAATTAATATTGTTAACGTAGAAATGTTTATACAGTACTAATAATTATCTTTAAAATGATAATTATCACCAATATCTATGGATTAAACATAATGAGTTTTTATTGTTATTATTTGGCATGTTACTAAATAAACATAAATTATACAATATTAATATAATTTTGAGTATTTATAGCAAAACATAATTACATACCCATGACCTGTATTTTCATAATATGTTATTTATGCAACTTTGGCGCTCATAAAATCAATAAAATGTATTATGTTTTAGCATATGAAACCTATTTTATAAGTCACTTAAATACAGGTAGTATTATATTACAAATACTGGTAATGAAATAAAATAACAATAAAACTATATTTTTTAATATAATAAAATGGATTCAAATAATAACATATCAATTGAAGAAAGGTCTAAAATATATGAATTGTGCAAACAGTATATAAGTGGTAATTGGGAGCAAATTACTCCAAATGAGTTGACTATTAAGCCAATCACGTATGTATTATACAGTATTTAATTTGAATTAAATATTAAAATGTAATCAATATAAAGATTTTAAATAATTATTGTATTAAATATAATATTATACTAAAATATTAAATTACTCTAGTGCTGGATTTATAAATAAGATACAAGTATGCTATGTCCCGGATAATATTGGAGTCAAATATAATAAGCTATTAATAAGGCATATGGATTACGAGATGTTTGAACAATATTTTCCGAAGACCCAGATGATTGCCATTCGTGTGTTTGTATCGCTACATAATCTCAGTCCCGAATTGTTGGCAATATTCCCGACGGGAACTATCAGTCAATTCATTGAAGTAAGTTTTATTACTATTTAATATTTATTATTATGCAAGTATTATATTATTAGTAACTTAAATTTATTTAACTTATTACACTATATTTTAATAGTAATTTATTTCCAGAAAACTTACTTAATTTTTAGTTAGTATTACTTTATTAACATTATTTTGAGCGGAGATACAGTTTATATTAATTCTTAAAATTTTAATTTCATAAATGATTATTGATCGTATTGTATAATTTTTGCACATTAATAATGTTTAATTATATTGTTAAATATTATATAATATTATTTAAATGATTAATTAATTAATTAATTAAATTTCAGAACCGATACTTTGATGGAAAGGATGACTTAAATCCAAGACTAGTGGGACAGTTAGCCAGGAAATTAGCACAACTTCATTCACTACAGATACCGATATCCAAACACAGCACAGATATGGTCTCACTATTAACCCAATTATTATCACCACAACTGAAACAGTCATACGGCGAGGGATTTATCCACAAACAGATACATGACATGAATTTGCAAACTCTGTCCACCATTGATGTCGGGGCTGAACTGGAATGGCTGTCTAAGACTATTAAACAAACTGACTGCCCGGTAGTCCTATCCCACAACGACTTCAATCGACGAAATATATTAATCTCGAAAACAAATGATAATATTTTTCTTATCGACTTCGATGCCACTAGTTATAGCTACAGGGGCGCCGACATAGGCAGTTATTTTAGCAGTTGGGGTCACAGGGAACTGGACTTCGGATCGGGTGACTTTCCCACTGACCCACAAATGTATCCATTTATTGACGCATATATCGAGCAAATGACTCAAATTAATGGCAATTCTTATGCAAAACTTGGGGTTAATTCTCGCGAGAAAATTATTTTTGAGTCAAAAGTGTTTGCATTAATGGCTTTCATGAAGGATATTGTGTACTGTTTGTGGGAATTTAATAATAATCATTCAAAAGGAGATTTGTTGGTAAGAATAGTTATTATTATAAAATATTTAATCAATTAAAAAGTTTATAAATGAGTGATAATTGTGTTGTGAATTGCAGTCAAAGGCGGAAACCAGACTTAAATGCTATTCCGATCTCAAGACTCGGATGACTACAGAAATGCTAATCTAATGATAGGTTTTGCATCATATTTCACACGAAAATATCTTTTAATAAATACATCATTTTTATATCAATTTTTTAAACTTCAGAAAAGTTAATCTAATCATTAATTAATGAGTGCATCAATGTCTATATGACATACAGTACGGTATATAAGATTAAAAGTATTATGTAATAATCTGGTTCAGTATTAACTCATGGTCAGACTAAATGTAATACATAACGATAAGATTTTAAAATAAATAAAATCATTAATTTTTGATATATACTGTAATATATTTTATTACATATTATATTATACTAGTAATACTGATGTATTAATATTAACTTTTCTTAATATTGTATAAGAGATACTGTATTTAAGAGCTTTAAAATAAAATTCAATATAAAAAGTATTGTAAGCAAATTAAATCCACATTTAAAATACAAAATGTCAAGTGATATAACAATTGAAAAACGACACGAATTGTACGGATTATGTGAACAATATTTAGCCGATAAATGGTCTGATGTCGCGGAAAATGATTTACATATAACTCCCATAACGTATGAATTTATTTTTATTATACCTATTAAATGGCTTAAAACATAATACAACTAATCTAGCGATGGATACATGAATCAGACATATTTATGTTGTTTACCACCAAATGTTGAATCCAAATACACAAAAGTTGTGGTCAGGTATGCGGACTACGACCGGTTCAAAGCCTATTTCACGCAAACACACGTCACCGCAATAAATGTGATTTTGTCGCTAAACAATATTTGCCCCAAACTTTTGGCTGTATTTCCCAACGGGACTATCAGTGAATACATCGATGTATAACAAATAATATTCAGTATACATTAAATTAATATTTTTTTAATAAAAATTTTAATTTAAATTAGTCCAGGTATTTTGATTGCAATGATGATATGGAGCCCAAAGTAGTTGCACTGTTAGCCCAGAAAATGGCAAATTTTCATTCATTACGACCGCCTGTCCACCGGCTAAACATTGATATGTTTAACACGTTTCGCAAAATATTTAATATGAATACAAGTCTTAAAATCAAACAATCACTCGAAGATCCAGTGATTGTCCAACAGATCCATGAATATAATTTGAGGACATTTTTTGAAGTGGATTTAATCAATGAAAATGAATGGCTCGATAGGGCTATCCATGAGCTCAAGAGTCCAATTATTTTCTCTCATAATGACTTCAATCGCAGGAATATTCTGATCCAAGAATCGGATAATAATAACAGTCTGAACAACGCCAGCATATATTTAATAGACTTTGATTGGACTAATTACAGCTACAGGGGCGCTGATATTGGTATGTATTTTTGTAGTTGGGGTCAACAGGAGTGGCACTTTGGTTCGGGTGACTTTCCCACTGATACACAAATGTATCCCTTTATTGACGCTTACATTCAAGAGATGTGTAAAATTAATGGCAATTCTTATATGAAATGCGAAATCAATTCACGCGAAAGCATTATAAAAGAGGCGAAAATCTTTACTTTAATGACATTCATGAGGGATGTACTGTATTGTATCTGGGCCACTATTGATACTAACAAGATAGATTTAATGGTTGGTTACATTTATTTTGAGTAATAATTTAAGTTTAATAAATGTCTTATAATTATAAATGTATTATAATTTAATTTACAGCCAATGGCAGAGACACGACTCAATTGTTATAAAGTACTCAAGAACCGGGTACTAAAAGAATATACATGTTTTAAATATGAATCCCTGTAATTAAAAATATGAAATATTCAGATTAAAACTAATAAAAATGTTCAATAAACAGAAATCTTTTAATTTATAAAATACAAATATATACTAATTAAATAAGAAGTTTATAAATGTCAATATGCGATTAAAAACCTCTAGATTATGAAGTTCATTATCAGTTTGTATTGTAAACTGTACGTGTATAAAATATACAAAATGAATTATATAACATGTTTAATGTTAAATATTCCGGATGCCATATCATGAAAAATCTTATTTTGTCATATTATAAGTACAGTACAGTGTATGAAATATACTGCTAATAATTGTTTCTCAAAATGTTAAATATTTAAACAGCAATTAGTGAATATCTTTTAATTAGTTAAATGCTTTATTCATTTATGATGATTTTTAAAATAACCATAGTTAATTAGTAAAAGTAAACAATTAATAATATAATTAAACTCAATTAATTTTAATTAAAAATAATCCTGATAAACTAAAAATGTCAAATAATATTTTAACTGAGAAACGACACGAATTGTACGGATTGTGTAAACAGTATTTGGCCGACAAGTGGACTGAAGTGACGGCAAATGAGTTACACATAACTCCCATTACGTACGTATTCATCGGATTTGCATTAAAATTATTATAAAACTAAATATTTAAAACAAAATAAATTTAGCGATGGATTCATAAATCAGATATATTTATGTGGTTTACCACCAATTAATGAGTCAAAATACTGTAAAGTTGTGGTCAGGTATGCGGACTACGACCGATTCAAAGCCTATTACACGCAAACACATGTCATCGCAATTAACGTGATTTTGTCGCAAAACAATATTTGTCCCAAACTTTTGGCTGTATTTCCCAACGGCACTATCAGTGAACACATAAATGTATACAATTATTATTACAGTATTTTATTTTAAATCATAAAAAATATATTCATTTTAGTGCCGATATTTTGACTATAAAGATGATACTAACCCTAAATTGGTTGCACTATTAGCCCAGAAAATGGCAAAATTTCATTCATTACGACCGCCTGTTAACCGACAAAACATTGATATGTTTAACACGTTTCGCAAAATATTTAATATGAATACAAGCCTTCAAATCAAACAATCACTCGAAGATCCAGTGATTGTCCAACAGATCCGTGAATATAATTTGAGGACATTTCTTGAGGTGGATCTCATCCATGAAAACTCATGGCTCGAGAGGGCTATCCATGAGCTCATGAGTCCTATTGTTTTCTCTCACAATGACTTTAACCGTCGGAATATTCTGATACATGAATCGCCTAATGACCAAAATATGGATATATACCTCATAGACTTTGATTGGACTAACTATAGCTACAGGGGCGCAGATTTTGGCACTTACTTCTGTAGTTGGGGTCAAAGGGAACTGGACTTTGGTTCGGGTGACTTCCCCACTGACACACAAATGTATCCCTTTATTGACGCTTACATTCAAGAGATGAGTAAAATTAATGGCAATTCTTATATGAAATGTGAAATCAATTCACACGAAAACATTATAAAAGAGGCGAAAATATTTACTTTAATGACATTCATGAGAGATATACTGTTTTGCATTTGGGTTACAATTGATACCAAAAAGACAGACTTAATGGTATTTAATAATTTTAAAATTAAAATAACTTATTATATGAATTATACTTATACCAATATAAAGTATATAATTTGTGTATTTTTATATTTACAGCCAAAAGCCGAGACTCGACTTAATTGTTATAAAGTCCTTAAAAAGCGTATTCTTCGAGAATATTCTTGTTTTAATGAATAAATAGTCTGATTGATCTTTGATTTTTTCTTGTTAATTATTTTTTAATTTAAAATTTATTTACAGAGTATCTGGTATTATTCAATTAATGTGTTTATATAGTATGTCACATCATTACATTGATAGAAATATTTCAATTGAAATATATTTTAGATTTCCAAACAAATGCGTAAAAATCTGATTATGCTGGATAAATAAATGGATTTCAAAAATATTGAATAATTTAGTAAAATTCAGTATAATTAAAATATTTCAAATAGTTATGACATATATTTATTCAGTGAACATTTTAGGTACATTTATAACTATAAATATAAAGCAATTCATTCAAAAAAATTATATCTGATATTTGGGAAAATAAATTTAAATCTAAATATTATTCCTATTTTAAATTAATTGCCTAAATATGTATTCGAAATTAGCCTTGATTGTTTTCGTGGGTTGCCTAATCCCTCAAATTAAATGCCTTACTCCAAGTTGGGACCTCACAAATAATACTTCAATTATATCATTATTTTGTGGTATGTCCTTACTTTCATTTAGATTATAAGGTTTAAAAATTTATTTTATTGAAAATGTTTCTAGCTGATTGCAAGGATGCTACTGGTGCTAAAGCGGTGGCAAACTTCAAACCTTGTTTTAGCCAAACAGCTAATGGGAAGGGCATGTATGAGGTGGCTGATAAAAACAAGTCTAAAGGGTTTGACACTTGTGCGGTTGAGATTGCTCAAGTCGTCAAAGGTATGAAAGATCCTGATGAGAAAGATGGCAAGAAAATGGAGGAATGTATGAAAGAACTCATCAAATCAAAGGATGCTGTTTTGAAATGCTAATTAAACCTTACATTAATGCTGTAGATATACGGCTTAATAAATAGTTTACGATTATAAAATTATTAATTGGTTTATCTATATTTTACATTTGCTAAATTCAATGTTTTATTGTTGATTAACTTGTAATTTTAATGAGTTATGAAAACTTTATTTTATTTTTAAATAATATGAAACTTGAATTATTTTTTATAAATTAAAAATATAATTACCATAATTGTTTTTATTATGTAAAATATAATAATTCAATTATTTTAAATTAATAAAATCCAAAAAATTATTGTAAACTTGTTAAACTTGTAAACTTATTATATATTATACAATACGAAGTTAAATACTGTACATTGTTTTTAAAACTACATTTAAAATTTATTATTAATTACTAATTTATAAAATGATTTTAATTTAAAAAGTTATCTAATGGTATATTTTTAAATGTTATAATTATAACACGTAAAAAATGTTATCAATGTTTAAAATGAAATAAAACGTTAACCTTGATGACATAACTTTTACTAGGATAGAAACATAAACCTTACCGGGTATAAATTATTTTCACAAAATTATGAAAAAATTATTTATTTATTATTATGTTTCTAATTATAATTTTTATAATTGCATACATTGCTACTAGCATGTTTCAATTAGAAATTTTAATTGTCTAAGTATTTCATTTAACATTTGCAATTATTTAGTATAAATAAAAATTTATCATACTGTTTATTTATTTTATTTAACTTTATTTATATAACTATCATGATGTTCATTTAAGTGCATTATCGATGTTAGATATGTATACAAATATAAGTCATTTTTCATATTTTATTTTCAAAATGTTTAACAAAATTCTTTTTATTTTCCAATTAATTTTAATTAATTTATATTGTGCTACAAGTGAATTGCCTATTATAGTTTTTAATACTGGTTCAAGAGATATTTCTTATAATTATATTGCAAATGATTATGATATTATAAATACACAAACTTCTATCAAGTTTACCCGAATATCTAGTGAATTAAAAAGCCTAGATGTATTCAAGACAAATATATAGTGTTTGCAAACAATGATCGCGATTATAATATAAGAATACAGGCCATTGAATATAGATCTAAATTTAATTCAACAACTGGTATTGCTCGCATACAAGTAAGTTCATTTGAGTTACATTTGTATAATACAAAATGATTGGTGTGTGTGTGTTAGAGAGAGAGAGAGAGAGCGGCACTTTTTAAAATTTTATATGGGCTTAGAAAGTTTTAGTTACATTATTTTTAAATTCTATTAAGCATTTTGTAACTTAGTTGGAATTAATTTTTACCTGTTTTAATTGACCTGTACAATTGTTGATGTAGAATTAACACTGCTGAACAAATAAATTATTTGAAATGAAATAATTAATTTACAAAGTTTTTATTATTTAATTGTATACAGTAAAAATATAAGCATTCTTTGAACACTCATTAACTTATAACATAAATGTTATATAATTTATATGACACAATGTAATAATATTTTTTGATTTCACGGGTTCTTTGAAATATTCTCCTAATTTGTCGTTATATTAGTACCCGGGTCTTTCATGCTGTATGCTAACCTACAAAGCTTATGATTAGTTGAACATTTAACTCAAAAATTTACAATTCACTATTAATTGAAGTCTCCCGCATTATTATCATGTCATCCATATTATTATGCTTATTATTACGTGTTTTCGGTGAACAGTTTGCAATAAATTGCCTAGAATATATATTTTATTTGTAAAATTAAATAAGTATTAGTTTAATAAAAATAATAACTTATCATTGATAAGTAACTTACGTTAAAAATTTTCTGTACAAATATGCAAAAACTATAATGTTTATTAAAATTATTACAGTTATCGTAATGATAAACCATTTACTATTTGCACTAGGTTGTTCTTGTTTTTCAAACATATGTTGCAATTCTTGAATTAAATTATCTAATTTAGTTGCCAGTTTATTTATCTCAGTGTTGTTGTCAATTGTGTTATTTGTAGTATTATTTAAATTGTTTTTGGACTCCGCTGATAACCATTTCTAGATTTATAAATATAAACAATTAAAAATTTAATACACTGAAAAATTCTCCAAGTGTAAATTTATCAAGATAATTAAGTCATATTGAACACTATAAAAAACAACTCACACTCTCGCGACAAAGTATGCGATTTTTACCACAAGCGCACCGGGATCTCCATTGTGAAACTGGTAGACATAGTTGCGAACAGCCATTGTTTCTATGACACATATAGTGAGATCCAAAACCTTGCCTCCCGGTGCTGAACACCCGAATTCCTTGTATATCCGAATATGCGTTCAACACTACCTCAGTGTTGTTCCCATCGGCCCGGTATACTGTCAGTCCTGTCGACCAATAGGTGTGGTTCCCATAGAAATCCATTGAAAAGCGGTTGAAAATAGTGACGATCCCTGAGCTACCGTACGTACGTTTAGCCCCTTATAGTCCATAACGTTTAAAGTATACATAAATGTGTCGATCCAATAGACTAACTGAGCGTTTGTGTCCAGTGCTATAGTGTGTGGATGTCTGGTACGGTTGTTGAGCACCTGTATGTCGGATCCATCTAATTTTGAACACATAATACTGCCGTTATATTCATTGGCAGTCATATTATGGCGCCATTGAGACCACACAAGTAAGACCTCTATGGGGTCCACTTTAAAGTCACCCTGCATTTCATCGTGTGTTATGATATCATAGCTATAATAATAAACAGGAACAATTATTAGAACAATTACCAGTACTCAGTATATTAAATATTAAAACTAACTTGCATATACTGCTCATATGATCGCCAATGTTATAAACTTCTACCCCACTTGTGACTGATATGTAAACTAAATTATGTATCCAGTCGTAGGCTAAACCATTAGCTTGGTAATCTTTTTTAACCACCCTGTGCACATTGCTATATTTCGAATATTTAACCATATCCGGGTATCGCGTCTTAAATAACAATAGCGTGTCATTCGAGTCGAGCATTTCGGATACGGCGCTAATATTTTGCACGATTTTCGGTATATCCGGTGGACGTTCCACATGTGCTTCCGGTTCCGAACACGTGTCCAGTTGATTGGCGTCCGAGCATAAGCACCGATAACTTTGGTTGCCTTTTGGCAGACACAGGTGATCGCATGTACTGTTAAGACAATAGTTTGTGCTTTCTGGTTGTTTATCAGGGTGAATTATCTTGTTACAAAAAATGGGCCCGTCTGATTTTACAACAGTTTCTGTAGTAAATTCGATGTATAAAAATTAAATCTATTATTTAAGTCTATTAAGTTTATAACTTTTAAAACATTAAAACTGGCTCCCTGGTGAATTTATGTAGTTAACGTGACTTCGCACTATAATGACAGTTTACTTTTACCTTACCCAGAGGTTTCCGGACATTATTTATTGATGTTTTTACAGTTTATCAATTTTATAGTTGTTTCTAATTAATGTTATATTATTTATTTTACAAATTTTATTATCCCTTTATAAGTAATTCTTAATCCCTACTCATTCATGTGTTATGGTACAGTATTTGTGATTGGTTTTTAATAAAATGATGCTGTTATAATGCCAATTCTTGCCCTCGTGGTCTGCCTTAACCTGATCAACTGGCTACTATTCTACAGAGCACCAGTATGTATATAATTAAAAATTACAAATGTGGTTTAATTGATTTAGACGTAAATATTAATAATATAAAACTTGCTTTGTTTAATAAACTAAAATAAATTGTCGTATAATAATATATTACATAAATTCAAAATAGACCTAGCAACTTCATTGCAAATCTTTAAATATGATCTATAAAATTTTTAAACATTTTTAATAACATACTTATTGAATAGTCCTTCAGACTAATGGCGAAAATGCTTTTCTCTTTAGGCGACGACCAAAACACAGAACCGTTGAACACATCGATTGCGGAACAGTCGCTGAAGTGTTGTTTCGATGTTTTGATGACTTTTCGATTGTCGCCGAAATAATCGATAGTCGATAGTGAATGCAATTCATTGTCAATCCATACAATCGATTTCGATTGAAAATCGATAGCCAAACACATCGGATATCGGGTATCTTTATAGACCAGTATTTTGGGTTCACTACCGTCTTGGTTACACTTTCGGATAACTGCCGTTCCGTTGGAAGAATGCCATTCCGACCATACAATGAATGATTCAACAGGGTTAATTGCTAATTGACCCGTAACCTAATTATTAAATCTAGACTGTTTATTATCGTAATTAGTAACTTGGTAGCTTATTTCCGGGTTATCCATGTGTGTAACATTGATATTGTAGTTGGTGAAATAGTATATAAGATTATGTATCCAATCAATTGCCACATTCCGCGTGGATAATTTAAAATTTTCAAATTGTGTTCGTTTCATAGGTTATTTATTTATTAATGAAAAACAAACAAATATATTAAAGTTCTCTCTCTCTCTCTCTCTCTCTCTCTCTCTCTCTCTCTAACACACACACACCAATCATTTTGTATTATACAAATGTAACTCAAATGAACTTACTTGTATGCGAGCAATACCAGTTGT